ATTTTTTTTTTTTTTTTAATTGTTTTCAAAGGATCTGGTGTGTGCGTCGAATAACTTCAACTGGTTGTCGCGAAGCTGCTCGAAGCGGGGTAACTCGCTGGATGCGTTGCACGGCAGCGCCAACTATGGATATGTGCGGCCAGCAGCGACGACGATGAGAACGAGAATGACGCGACCAAGCGATGGCCACGGCGAGACAAGCGAACCGACTCGACGGCGGATGCCGACGATGTCGACGATGCCGATGATGATGATGTCGGCGGAGCCGACGATGAGGACAAGGACGAGGACGTGTGCGTGTGCGTGTATGTGTTTGTGTATGTGTATGTGTACGAGGCCAAGCACGAGAACAGGAACAAGGGCGAGGACAAGGACGCGTCTCCAACTTAAATCGCTTCAATTTCAGTTTGATGAGACGTCCGACAGGTGGTGGGGCTGTTGCTGCTGCCATTGCTGCAGCCTCGTCGGCATGCTAGTGTTGGTGTTAAGGACATGGCCGTCGCCTGTGCGTGTGTATCTGCCAGCAGAGACGCAACAGTGCCGACTACGTCGATTCGTCTGCAGCAGCAGCAGGCAGCAACAACAAGTGGAACTTCATTTTGCCATTCGGCAAGCACACACACACACACACACACGCACACACTTGCACTTGAGCATTCGGATTTTGTGTATTCGGTTCGTACGAATTGTTTTCGTTTTCGTTTTCGGTTTCGGTTTCGGCTCGCCTTTGCCTACGCTTCGTCTTTGCCTTTAATTTGTAGCTCAGCTGTACATGAGCAAACCGAAAATGTGAAATGAGAAAAAAAAGCAAAAGTTTGCCCTAATAGCCAAAAGCTGCCGCTGGGCGGCGCCACATTGATGTACTTGCTTGCGCCTTTGCCAAAGCAGTCAAAAAGCTATACACACACGCACACGCACACACGCACACGCTTACATACTTAAGATTTGATTAAGTAAAGTTTTGGCCGCAATTGAATTGTTGTTGGATTTGCTTCTTTATTTATTTGTCAATGCAAATAAGCAGCGAGCAAGCAGAGGATGAGTACGAGAGATAGAGAGACAGAGACAAAGAGAGAGAGAGAGAGAGAGAGAGCATGATTCCGATCTCAGCGTCTCGTACAGAAATAACTCAAACCGTTTTCATTTTCACAGTTCCATTTTTAGTTCTTTTTTCAGTTGTATTCAAACATTTAGCTCGAACAGATCGTGAAATGGATTTACTCTTTCTTAGCCAGCGCATTTATCTGGGCGATGGCAGCCACGAAACGCCCCTCAACGGCGGCATCATCGTGGACACGGGCGGCATCATTCGGCGTGGTAAGTGGGCAAAGCTCAAGGCTTTTCGCGATACGCAACCTTTTGACTATTATGAATACTTATTTATAAGCTATTATATACAAATATACATTGGCAGCTGGATGTTTGTGCTGCACTTGTTGGGCTTTATACAATTTTGAGGTTTCTCTTGACATCCAAAATAAAACAGAAAGATAAAGAGATAGAGACTGAGAGAAAGAGAGAGAGAGAGAGAGAGAGAGAGCGAGCGAGTGGGTGAAAAGCAGGCAGGCAGCAGGTAAAATTGACATAGAGCGTGAAAGATAACGCGTAAGAGCAAGGGAGCGCGCAGGGAGAGGGAGCGAGCGAAAATCAAATTTGGCTAATTAAACTAGCTGCGACTGAGAAAAGGTCGACGCGAAATTCTGCTCATGTTTGCTCCAAATTAATAAATTCATAAATAATAATATATTTGCGTAGATATTAAGTAAATAATCAAGCAAATTTAAGCAGCTTGTCTGTATGTATGTATGTCAAATACATTAAGTTCCTAGTGAGAGAGTAATATACACACAAAATACAAATAAATGTATCTATTTTATTTAAATGTGTATATTTTGACATTTATTGAAAATTAGGTAACTCGGACTGCTGTCAATTAAATTTGGACTCTTATAATACAAATATTTTTATTTATTTATTTTGTCTAAAAAAAAAAAAAAAAAAAAAAACACACACACACACACACACACACACACACACACACACACACACACAAACACACACACAAAAAAAAAAAATGGGAAACTATCAAATGGAAATGAAAATGTCAGATGGAAATGTTGGAGACATATGTACATTTTGATTGAATTTATCGTAAAGGAAATTATATTTTGTAAATCAATTCCAAGTTTTCCTAAATGACTCTTTCCATATGAGAATATAGTTATCGAATGAAGGAATAACGGGATTGGAGTGGAAATGAGGTGAAACAGTGAAGTCAAGTAGAACCAAAGGTTATACAATTACGAAGAATATTTCTAAGGTCTAATAGAAACTGAAAATGTAGTATGCTACCTGAGGGATTTAAGAGGCTTAGCCAGAGAGGTTTACGATCTAGAGACTGCAAATATCGCATGTGAGCCTTAGTTTTGTAGATATCTCTTCAAGTTGTTTTGAAGTCAATGAAGAAGACATTGCGTATAACGAACTAATTGGTATTCTATCCAAACTTCTTATGTATGGATTACTTAAATTTACCACTAATATATTTACATTTTACTAGTGCTGCGCACTAAGCAGGAGGTAAACACCTATCTGTACAACACAGAATCGGAGGCTGTTTACGATTTCGGGGATCTGCTGCTGATGCCGGGCTTGATCGATACGAATGTGCACATCAATGAGCCGGGCGAGCGCACCGACTGGGAGGGATTCGCGTCGGCGACCAAGGCGGCGGCTGCCGGCGGATTCACGACCATCATAAATCGACCCACGTGAGTAGTAGCCGCCCGATGTGGCAAGCGGCTTGCTGCTGGTGCTCTCTACACCGCCCTTTCTACAGTACAACGCCCGCAGTAATGCCACGCCCCCCACAGTGAATGTGCAGACGCTGAAGGCGAAGGCGGCGACGGCACGCGGCAAGATCTATGTGGATGTCGGCTTCTGGGGCGGCCTGGTGCCGGGCAACACGGATCAGCTGGTGCCGCAGCTGGCAGCCGGTGTCGTCGGACTACAGTGCACACTCTGCCCTAGCGCACAGCCGGTGGGCGATGAGTTCGCAGCAATCAACGAAACTCAGCTAGGCGAGGCACTGCATCAGCTAAGCAAGGAGCAGGCAGCAGATGCGCTCATAGCGGTAAATAATTGGGATCAAACTCTTGGGAAAATCTTGAAAAATATCCTAAATTTGTATACATTCCATGTATGGGCTTTCCTTTAAATAATTTATGTACGAAAATTTATGACTCTAGTTCTCTGTTAAGGTGGGAGCTATGCCTATTTTATTATTATTATTTGATCTAATTATAGCGAATTACTACAATATATCTCTAGGCAACAAGAGAGTTGAGGTTAAGGAGACAGATATAGAAAGAGTTTTAGCAGTTTAATTAATTTTGTTTATTACAAATATTTTTTTG